TAAGTTTGTTTACAAAAAATGAAAACTACAAAAATAGGCATCTTTTGTATTTTTTAGCATTTATTGTTCAAATATACAATTTTATGCTTAATTATTACTTAATTGTGCGTTAATTGTTATTGGGAGTTAATTTGCATTTTTATAACTTAATTTAGTTCTTAATAATAGTTTAAGTATTTTTATAATTTAGTTTTAGTAAAATAAAAGAAGAAAAGAGAGCAAAAAATAAAGAAAATCGGAATTGGGCTCAAATTTAAGTTAAAGGTCCAAAGAGACCCAATCTTCCCAAACGACCCAGTCCATTTCGAACTGGGTCGACCCAGTCCATAACCCAACATCCTATTATCTTACATCTTACCAAAAACAAAACAAAAGAAAAAACCCTAAAAATCCAAACCATCCGCCCCACCCCCCTCATTTTCCTTCTTCTTCCTCAAGCTCCCCTCCCTAGCATCAATGGCTGCTCCACCCCGTCACCACCTGCTGCTTCATCTTTTCCGTCCAAACGCCACCGCCAAACGACCAGCTTTTCACCACCTCCAAACCACCCCGTCACCAGCCCGTGCAATCAAACAACAACTATCGACCAGTTGCCCCCCTCCAGTCAAACAGCTCCATCATCGTCGTCGTCGAACCCCAGCCACGCCGGAACAACACGAACGACCATGCTGCTATTTCTATAGGGATAGTTGTCATACCGTATAGAAGTCTTGAATCAGATTTTGAGAAGAGAGAACAGACAGAAGAAAATAACAGAGAGGGAACTAATCTGAAAAAGAGGAGACAGAACAGAAAAAAAACAGACAGAAAGAGAGAAAAAAAAAGAGCTGAATATTTAGGAGAGAAAGAAAAATTCCGAAAAATATTTTAAACTTTCAAATAAAAAAAAAACTAAAAAAAATCTTCTGCTTTCTTTCATTGTTTGAAATCAGCATTAGTTGTTGTTGTTTCATCAAAGCTTGAAGCTTTTGTTTTTGGGATTACTGCTCCGCTGGTTTGCAAACTCTGTTCCTGGGTTGTTACTGTTGCTGGACTGTTGTTGCTGTGTTGTATTATTATTACTGTTGCCGATTCTCATCTTCATTTTCTTTTGCTTCCAATATCAGGTACACAACTGACACGCTGGTTATTGTAATCCGAAATATGAAGCATGAATACGAAAAATGAAGAGTTGAAATTCTAAATTTGCTTTAATTATATTCTGAATTTTATTTGTATGTACAAATTATTTAGCTTGCAAAAATCAGAATCATGTAGCTATTTAATACATATAGTGGAACATCCGACGATAGCTTAACAGATGAACTATCTACATATATTGCCTAAAAATAAATAAATGGTGTAGTAACTCCGTCGAGTCAAAAATCAAACNAAATCAGAATCATGTAGCTATTTAATACATATAGTGGAACATTCGACGATAGCTTAACAGTTGAACTATCTACATATATTGCCTAAATAAATAAATGGTGTAGTAACTTCGTCGAGTCAAGAATCAAACGAATAGGCCATCTAGTAGGAACTTGGTGGAAATATTGTTTAGATTAAATAATATTGGTTAATTTCAGCATGTAAATGGTCTAGGATTAAAATTGGAATTGCTAATCTGCTTTATCTGTCGAGTTAAATGAGCTCTTAGGACTTGGATTTGGTCATTTGCTCTCCCCTTCAGTGAGCACACATGAGATGCCGACCATTTCACCTCATTAGCACTTGTGATTTATTTAAATGATGGTTTTTTTTTTTAGATTCATAACAAATTTGATTGATTAAAATTTTAAAACTGAATTGTTATTCTATTCACCATAGATGCAAAATACCCACAACTAAATTTGAGCTACAGAAAGACTAGTTTCATTTTTTCTTTCAGCTTCATTCGTAGACCTCATCACGTTGGCGACATAGACCCGTATAAGAACCAACAGAGAAACAGTAGTCATTTTCATTATTTTCCTTGGCTTCTTTCAGGTTTGCAGCCAAACGACTAGAAATTGAGGTTGGTTCATCATCTGACAATTCACTTTCAGATTCAATGTAAGAACTACTTTTATCTGCTCGTGATTTTTCTGCAAGATTTTTAGCTTTTGTTTGCTCACAGGCTTAGGACTAATTTTCTTTTGCTCTTCTTTTGCTGGCAATTCTTTATCCTTTTTCACTGCTTAAGTTATCAGTGTTGGTTGTTTAACGTGAAGAATGCCATTTTCAAACTTTGCACTGATTTTTCTTTTGTTAATTTTCTGCAACAGGAAAATCCTTCTGAAACCTTTGCCATTTGTTCTGCGAAGTCGGCCTTTGTCCACTGATCTTCAGAATTCCTGTTCTGGTCAGTTGAACCCTCAGCTGGTCCTTCTTGAAACCGGTGTGACATATGAAATCAATACATAGCAGAAGATAGAGAATAACCTTTTAAGTTTAGCAATGAAAATTATAAAGAAAATAACAATATTCGTGCGTGAAGTGGATATATAACTTCTGAGAATACTGACTCAACCACTCCACCACAATCCTTATTAGTCGGATTTGAATATGTCAATGCCTTTAGATGTATCCTTTTTACTCTTCTTGCAAATCTTACAGGGCTGAAACGGTGATCTTGTCCGTTATTGTTTTTTGAGGTAAGAAACATTTACTGATTTTCTTTTAGTTTTATGATTTTCTTCCAATAGTAAAAAATCTAAAAAGAAGAGCAGTGGATATTATTTGACTCCTATAATGCTACAAAGTCTATACACAAAATCTGCACATTCTATGCACACAATCTGCACAATTCAAAAGTCAAAATGATAGTTCACCTCAATTTGAATTACATACATTGCAATGCAACACACTAGACAGTTTATTGTGTTGGAGATATAATTAAGTAAATAAAAGTGTATTTTTTCTAACAACTTAAATTTTTAGATGAGATGGTCATATACTTCAACATGGTAATAGAGCATATCAAAAAGAATTTTCACGTGTTTGGCTTGTCAAAAATAATTAAGCCCGCACATGAGCGGTCGTGATAAAAGTGTGTCATCTTTAACAACTTAAGCTTTTAGATGAGATTGTCTCACCCTTCAACGTATTGGAACAAGAAAACATCTCAAGGTAGGATAATAACATAGAAAAAAGCCAATTGAGATTGGAAAATTTATATGACAAGACAATTACAGGGAAAAGGAAATTGAATAACAACAAAACAGAAAGACAACAAATTAAAGCAATTAATAGTGGTGATTGAGAAATTTTCATAAAGCACTATCTTTTAGTAGTAATTAGTCATCTATAGATACCATTTGCTATATTACGGATTATAGATACCTTTTACGTGGTTATAAGATGTATTTGATATATTTAAGCTATTGTATTCATGAATACAGTAACAAAAATCGGCGTGAATCAGGGAAGTCCAGCTAATTAGTTGTTGTATTCGAGTGTATTCGACTGTATTCATGGAGTGAAACATGGGATTACAACTGGACAGATTATTGTATTCGACTGTATTCATGCCGCGAAATAGGGGATTGCACTGTTTTTAAAACGAAAAGTGAATCAATTAACATAATAAACTCCTAATATAACTCAACAAACTCAATTATAACACACAAATTTTGTATTTTTAGTTATAAAAAAGATTCTCAACCGAAAAATACCCCAAAAACATAGAAATCTTCAGAGAAATTATATAATACATCTGAATACATAAATTATATTAATTAAAAAAAACTTATGAATACATTCATGGTATATAGCGAGACAGTGAATACAATGAAATACATAGAATACAACGGGATACATTGAAATACAATGAGAAAAAAAGACTGTGAATACAATGAAATACATGGAATATAACGAGATACATTGAATTATAATGAAAAAAAAGACAATGAATACAATGAAATACATGAAAATACATTGAATTGGTATCTATATGAACTGGTTAGACAACTGGTTAGAAAGATCACGACCACCGTAGAAACAATAAGAACCCCAAGCGTCTCACGTTCAGAAAACTGCCGACCGAATAAAACCAAAGGTGGATCCGACGGACGGAAAAGGTAGAGGAAAAGCCAAGCAGCAAGGAGACCGGTGAGAAGAAAAAGGGAAAATGGGTTTGTGATTAGGGAAAAGGCGAGAACAACGGCAATGAGGGAAAGGTAATTGATACGGAAATAGGAATAGTTTTGCGGATACAGAGGGTAGCATCAGAAACGGATTCGGGTTTGGAGAAGGCCGAGCGATCAACGAGTTCCGACCACGGACGGCGATTTGAAAGACCACCTTGGATAGAATATAATGGGATGTATCAAAGTATAGAGAGAGAAAAAAAGTGTAACTGATTAGCGTATTCAGTGGCTTAGGGCTAGGAGGTAACCAAAATTAAATATTTTGCTATAAACCTTAAAAGGTATCTATAGAATATAATTTTTTTTAAATGATATTTATTTAAAATAAATAAGGTGTTAACCTTTTCTATAGGAGGTAAAAATTCCTAAATTTATTCATCTGTGCTAAAATCTAAAAGCCATTGCTAACCTTTCATTATCAAAATCAAGGCACAAAATCTCAGCAGCCTGAGCTATCTAGCAATGGTACATTAGTAAAAGTTAACTAGAGACTAAAGGAGGGATTGACGTATCGATGTCTTTAGATAAAAAGGGAAAGGATATTACATATATTAATTCTAGTGCGAAAAGGAGCAAAGCTAATTCCCTTTAGAGTAAATTGGCGCACAAAAAGAAAATTGCAACCATTTTTGTTTGCCTACTTTCTTGTTTTGTAACGATGGGTCAATAGAATGGAGTATTTCATGAAATTCAAATAAAGCAATCAAAATTGCAACCATTTTCTTAGGAACATTTTCTGTATTATAAGAATTTATCATAAATTGACTAGCTTTATGTTATGCATCAAAAAAAGAAAAGGAATGGATATCACATGATGGGTTCGTAATGATTTTCGTCAAACCTAATAAAGACAGTAACAAACAGGAAATAGAGTTGAAAATTGAGCCGAGTTAATTTGGAATTGAGGTGTAACAAAAGAATTTAAGTTCTGAGCAAAAGTCCTATTTATCCACCCGATGAAAACTAATAATAATCGGTAGCCGCAAAATAAAGTGAGGATGACACACGGTAACCACTTTTAAGCATGTTTAAAATATATCCATAGTTTATAATATATTTAAAGATTAGTCAATTTCGCTCAAACTTCAGCACACATCGTCCTAAAATTTAAACCTCAAAATTCAAACTTCAGGACATCGTGTCGTAAAGTTCGAAAATTGTGTTATGAAGTTCGAATCTAATGTCCTGAATTTTAAATTAGTAGTTCAAAATTCACGACATTTAATCCTGAATTTCAAATTAGCAGCTCAAAAATTCAGGACACTAAGTCCTGAATTTCTAAATTTAGGATACTTAGTCCTGAAGTCCTAGAGTTTAAACCTCAAAATTCAAACTTCAGGACACCGTGTCGTAAAGTTCGAAAATTGTGTTATGAAGTTCGAATCTAATGTCCTGAATTTTAAATTAGTAGTTCAAAATTCACGACATTTAATCCTGAATTTCAAATTAGCAGCTCAAAAATTCAGGACACTAAGTCCTGAATTTCTAAATTTAGGATACTTAGTCCTGAAGTCCTAGAGTTTAAACCTCAAAATTCAAACTTCGGGACATCATGTCCTAAAGTTCGAAAATTGTGTCCAGAAGTTTGAATCTTATGTCCTAAATTTTAAATACGTAACTCAAAAATTCAGGACACTTAGTCCCAAATTTCAAATTAGCAGCTTAAAAATTCAGAATACTAAATTTTGAATTTTCAAATTCAGGATACTTAATCCTGAAGTTTGGGTGAATTGACTAATCTTTAAATACATTATAAATTTTGGATATATTTAAATAGCGGGTTCGAAAGTGACTATTGCTGCACTTCGCCCAAAATAAACCATACAATTCATAGCGCAAAACCAAGTATAACGACCAACAATTATTAGCCCACAAAAAACGGGAGACTGCGACTCCGAAACACAAACTACAACAGCCGATAGCCCAAACTCTTACAGCCGCCTAACCTTCTTTTCCACTTATAATTAATAGTAAAAAAATTTTAAACCCTGTCAAAACCCTAAAAATCTTTGAAACCTAATGAAATACCCATTGAAACTCACCCTCTTAGTATCCGAAATCCATCATCCAACCATCTTCTCCGCAACTACCAAGCTCATTCCTATTACACTATAAATAATAGTTTCGTTGTTATCAACAACTTGAAATTTTCATTGATCCAGTCTAAAAAAGAGCATGATATTGCATAAGCAAAAATACTCATGATATAAGTGTGGCGACCCGACCAGGCGTCTCATGAGTTACCGCTCCATATCTCCCATTTCGGCTTCTTTATGCTTCGTTATCCGCATTTTATGTGATCCAGTTGATTGGTTTGCGTTCGGGGTGGATTTGGTAAGAAATGAGACACTTAGTCTCTTTCAAGAAGGTTTAAGTTGGAAAACTCAACCGAATGCTGACTTATGTGTTAGAGAGCTCGGATGTGAGTTCCGATGGTTCGGTTAGCTTCGGGAGGTGATTTATGACTTAGCAGTGTGATCGGAATTGGTTTTGGAGGTCTGGTGTAGAATTAGGCTTGAATTGGCGAAGTTAGTATTTTGGCGATTTCCGGTTAGTAGGTGAGATTTTGATCCGAGGGTCGGAATGAAATTCCGAGAGTTGTTGTAGCTTCGTTATGTCATTTGTGATGTGTGTGCAAAATTTCAGGTCATTCGGACGTGGTTTGGTTGCGTTTTTGATCGAAAGCGTATTTCGGAAGTTTTAGAAAACTTAGGCTTGAATTCAATGTGAATTGATGGATTTGGTGTTGTTTGAGGTGTTTTGATGATTGGAACAAGTTTAAATGAGGTTTTAGGATGTGCTGGTCCTTTTGGTTGAGGTCCCGGGGCCTCGGGTGAGTTTCGGGTGGTCAATCGGACCATTTTGAGTTTGAGGAGTTGCAGAAAATCAACTCAGTTGTTGTAGAGATTTTGGCTTTCGCGATCGCGTAGAAGAAATTGGAAGGACATGCTTTAGACCTTCGCGTTCGCGTCTGGGGGCTCGCGTTCGCAGAAGGTTAGAAGCTTGTGCTTCGCGTTCGCAGGAGGAGGTCCGCGAATAAGGATTTGGGGGTCCAGTGGAATTGCTCTTCGCGTTCGCGCTATAGGTCTAGCGTTCACATAGTTTGGAAAGTGGAAGCATCGCGTTCGCAGTGCTCATGTCGCGTTCGCGTAGCGTGTTTTTGGAGCCTTGGAATTTTGCTCTTCGCGAT